AAGTACCGGCCAGCAACTGAAATTGAAGGGTGCTGACAAGGACCTGACCTGGCGCGCCCACGAGCCGCAGCCCACAGCTAGCCAGCCTACCAAAAGCGTCGCAACAGGTGTCCGCATCCGTCCGCCATGGATTCAACCAGCCACTAGTACAGCAGCACCTCTCTGAATGAAACACGAACACGGGAGGCGATGAGCATGACGATGCATAATCACATGACTAATTAGTAGTAGGAGAGGAGGATGAGCAATCAGCAGCAGGCAGGCAGTCTGGCGTCCCTGTCTGCAGCTCATCTCACCCTTCACCTGTGCCTGCCTGTGCCTGCCCCTGCATGCGCCTCTGAAGATTTTCAGGCACGCACAACTACAAGAAAGGGTACTGTGCTCGGACAGCAATGGGTTTGGCTCTCTGCCCTGTCTGTGCCTTATCCCATTATCCACTCTGGGAGTGGGTGGTTAGCTGGGGCAGGCATGTCATTCTTCTGCCTCTGCCTCTGCCCCTGCCCAAACCAAACCCTCTTCTCTACTTCTACCGTTGTACGTTCTATCACTACCATGGTCTTCTTTCACATGGCTTCGACAAGGGCACCTTCAGCAGTGATAGCAGTCAACACCAGCAGTTCTCCTCTTTCTAAAAACCACACGAATCTCAAAGCATCCCATTAAATTAATTAAATATAATTTCCTTTTATATTATCCATCTATAATTTCCAGGCGCAGACCATGCCCAGCCCAAATTCTATCCATTTGTTTTGGTCCTCCAGTTCATGATCCTCGTTGTTCAGGGTTCTTTCCCGGCGCGTCTCAGAGTGGACCAGGTATGCACGGAGGCAGAGCTCCGCTCACGATCTCTCCAGCCCAAGCGGCGGTGTCCGGCTGTCCAGTGTCCACTACGCAGCCATCGTGGTGCCCCTCCTTGCCTACCTCCTCCACACGGGCAGTACCGCAGTAGACGGCGGCAGACACCCATCTCTTCTCACACGAAACGGAAGACGGAGACCAGATCGAGTTGGGCTGGAGGTACCGTGCGTGGAGGTTCGCCGCCGTGTAGACGTCGTCACTACATACGAAGGAAATCTCGAGGAGGACTCGATATGTGCTACGTACGGTCTGGGCTTGGACGGGCCGGGTCCATACGGGACCTAGATGGATCATAATTATAGAAGATAATTATTTGATTAATTGGATAGACTGCTTTAAGAAGCGTGCCATTTTTAGAAAGGGGAGTATTGAAGCAGTTCCCTACATACATACATACATATAAAAAATGAACCGTCCCATGCCAATTGTATATGCTGTAAGCGACATTCGTTAAAAACTGCAAAAAAATAAATAAATGTTTGGAACGCGGAAATTGGGGCAGTTTGTTCGCCTTATGTCGAAACTTATGAGGAAATTCAAAACATCCTTGCTTCCAAAAGAGCCTGCGCCGTTACATCTCTCTTTCCTGCTTCCCGTTTTCCAGGATGGCGTCAAGGATATGCTTCTGATATCACGATGGCGAGATGCAGAGGATCGATCCCAATAATTCAGATGTGGGGGTCCAAGAGATCACGGGGATCTACCAATGGAGACGTGCAAATTGGTAGCCACTCGACCCTTCTTTGTCTCAAGTTTATACCACAGCAAATGGTTCCAAAAGTAGTGAGAACTGAGGACTCACCCCGGCTGGCCTGCAAATGGATCAGTAGATCTTTTTTTAGAGTATACCAAGGAGGCAAGGAGTCATAGCTGACATAACGTTTCAGTTTCAGGAATACGAAACTTTAATGTGCTAAAATTTCAAAGCAATACAATATGTACAGTAGCCAAGTTAAATTAAGAAAAGATGATTCGGTATACTTTATAAGTTCTGTTCATATGTTTATGTATAAATAAACTCAGTCATTGATAAAGTCCGAAATATTTTGTACCAGATCTTATCTTTGTAACACTACCTATATCACTTCAATACCACGGCCATAGTTTTGTTGTTTTTCTCCATTCGGGTTCATTGATTACTAAAGAATCCTTTAATAATCAATGGGTTCACATGTGGAGAAAAACTACAAAATCATGGTCATGGTATTAATGAGCTATGAAATTCATCCCCCATGTTTTATGAGAGAGAGTCCGCAATGATAAATACAATAGGGCATCTTAAGAGGGCAATCAGATGTTCAAAGCACGAACTTTTTGCCATGATGCTTCTACCCTAGCCAATGCAACTTGCATTGCTCTAGCTCGCACTGCTATTGGCATTGGTGTCAACCTCAGGCGCGTTTGTATTTTTTTGCCAGCGCTTGCCTGGCCTGTCCTGACAAAATTCATGCCGTTTGGATTCTTTACCACCTGCCTCGTTTTTTTTTTTTTGACGTGTCAAGTTTTATCCTTGCTAGCTCAGGTGAGCTGATTCGGCTCGCCTCGGCTAGTGAGGCTATCCTTGCCTAGCTAGGTTAGGCAAGGCAAAGGTGCAAGAAAAACAAACATGCCCCTCGTCATCAAGTGAAGTTTTGCCTTGTGTGCACCACCACTGGTAGTCACTACCGGCTTGCTACTTAGGCATCTCGGTAAGCAAGGAAACCATTTTGGTAAACCCAAAACCCAAAATCCTAACTCATTGGAGTTGTTCTCAGTTCCTCACCAAAGATAAGGACATATTGCATAGAAAATCAGATGTAACTAAGGGCTTATTTGGATGTACATGTACCACCTCAATCCATATGTGATGAAGTAGACTAGAGTGGAATTTAAACTAAATTACACCTCAAGTCACTCCACCGCATAGAGATTGATGAGGTAGATACATATGCATATATCCAAACAAAGCGTAAGATATGTTTTCTTCCCACCTTGAGAAATACATGTGGCCCAGACATCAATGCTAGATGAGGGTCTCATGCAGAGGTTCAAACCAAACCAAACCAAACACGTCCTCAAATTTACAGAGACCAACTCTCGAACCAGTACAGTCCTGCATTAATTGTATTATTATTTTCCTCAAAAAAAACTGCATAATAATTGTTACAGAAAAGTGGGTAGCCCATCATGAAAGTGACGGTCAGGAAAGTGGTTCGTGTGTCCTCCACAGCACACCACTTTTTGCTGTGTGATAGCGTGTGTAGACCCAGAGTTTTGTGTACGAGCCGTCGTGACTTGTCTGGTGCGCACGTGGCGTCTCCACAGCCACTACCTCGGTCTCAGACGTGAAGTACAATGGCGAGCGTTGGCATCTTCATCTCATCGCATCTCACTGCAAGGCTAGACCACACAAGGAAAATGACAGGCGAATTTGCTCTTCATTTTTGGTGACCACCAACCTGGTTTTCGTGTGCACAACAAGGAAAATAGCTGCTTCTCTGTATGAAGCATTACCTTTCTTGCTGTCTTTATTTTCGGGGTATTAACCTTGTAAATTGTAATGACTTTATTCTGAACGAGGTCTGTAATTTTGCAACTGTGCTGATTTATTTTTGTAATAAAAATATCACAAGCTGTTCTATCAATCATTGCTTGAAGTATTGACATTTTCTCTAATTGCATATCGTTTTTCTCTTTGCCTAGTCATCATCATAATGAAACTGTGGGCTGGAACATGGGATCAACTGATTTGATGTCACACTCAAATTAGTTGAACTATGCTTAAGTGCTTCGCCATCTAGTACCAGTTTTGTGGGAACCACTGCATCACCGGTGACTAGGATACTTGGAGAAACCAAATTGGTGACTCATTGTATTGTCTAGGGCAGAACACTACTGTGTGCGCATTGATTGGTTACTTAATTAATCTTCAAACTCCTTATTTGGTGTGAAAATAAAAATAAAAATATTATTTTTTGTGCATTTTGGTATGTCTATGTGGTTTTCACTATGACGAAGCAATGAATCGGAGATTGTGAAGATTTAAGTTCCACTTTTTTTATATAAAAATACACCATGTTCAGTATTTTTAAAGAATCTTACGTTACATATGGAGTAACATTAAAAAACACTTGGAAAAAAATCCAGACGCAAAATTTTATTTATGCACAAAGAAAAAGAAGTTCCAATAAGCCGAGAGAAGCTTTAGATACCTTTTTGGCCACCCATCATATACTCTGTCTTCTTTACTTCCCTATAAATTTGTCAAACTCTCCATATCACATAGAGAGAGAGGGAGGGAGGGAGGGAGGGAGACAGGAGAGAGGAAGACAGAGAGAGATGCGGTAAACCCAAGAACTGCTCTTATGCATGAAGCAGCCATAAGCATTGCTATTAGGTGCTGATTCCCCTCTTGTTCTTTGTTTTTTATTTCCCCCTCTTGCTCTTCTTCTTCGATGATTGGCTGGGAACTACATCTTGGGATTTTTTTTTCTCGCTTTCTTTTGTTATTATTGGCCTTGCTATGGTCATGTGGGTGATTCTTTGCCTGTTTTGTCTGTGAGATGGCAAGCATTTATTTGTTCTTTTGGGCCACTGGATTAGCTGTGAGTTTTTTAACCCCCTGCCTTATCCTGAGCTCAGTGTACTCATATTGCATCAGACCAACAATGGCAAACAGTTTCCATGAATATGACTGTTCATGAAAATCCTTAGTACCAGGTTTAATCTCTTCAAACTAGCGAAATTTCTTAAAAGTTGGTTTGGTCCTTGAAAACAGCTTGTTGGCTGAGCTGGTGGGGTTATGGAGTAGAGTTCTTTTTCTGCCAGTTCTGTTAATAGACCTGAGACACCCGACTTGAGGAGAAATTGGAACCTGAACCTGAAAGATTTTATTCTGACGTGCATTCAGAGAATCGATTTTCTGTTTCCCAAGGAATCCTCGAGTCGCTTGTTGCTAGCCAAGCACTCTTGTGTGCATTCTCTCCAAGATTTGTGGATTTCAGTGCAACTGAAGCCTCTCTCGCTCTGTTTCATCAGCATCTCCTGCACTTTTTTCCAGGGTTTCATGCAGGGCAAAGCAGCTGGTTTCTGCCGCCTGAACGCCGCCGGAATCTGCGAGGCCTTCCCGAGCAGCGTCATCGGATAAGGCAGCCGGCACGGCAATGCCGGTTCCCCTTGCCCCGTATCCGGCTCCTCCGGTGCCATTCACGCCGCCCAATGGTAAAATCTTTTTTGCCCCCCAGTTACCACCTCAGATGTGCACAGGGTAATTTTGGCATGTAAAGAGTGTTGCTAGGTACCAAGAAATGCTGGGATGTATGAAAGTTATATAAAAAATTAGTTTCTTTTTATCAAGGCGTGTTACTGATACAGTTCAGATGCTGCTTAATTTTGGCTACAACCTGCAGTTTCTGGTTCAGAACTTGCAGCAGTTCCTTCTGCTTGGTGAAACTTTTATGTTTTTATGTAACAAATTGCCCAAAAACTGTGGGAATGGACTGTGGAGCTTTATCTGCTGACTTTGATGTTGTAATGCATGAAAGGGGCCTTTTTGAAACAGAGGTTCGATTATTGTGTAGCAGAACATTCATACACAAAGTGTCATTTGTCCGTCCTGCAATTTTCAGGGGGGCAAAGCCAGCTTGTCTGCATCGGATGCCGGAATCTCCTCATGTATCCAGCTGGTGCGACGTCGGTCTGCTGTGCAGTTTGCAGCACCGTCACCGCCGTGCCGGCTCCAGGTACACACATGAATTACCTTCATTTCGGTTTGAAGAATTTGCGAGTAAGTAACACGGCATCTGAACATTGAGCCACATTTGTGCGTGGAGAACTAGTGTAATACCGTCCATTTCGTCTTTCTGTTCTTTTTAACCAGCTAAGAAGTAGCATTTGCTGTATCCATAAAGTTTTGCATCTTGCAAACTATATATACACATAGGAGATGAGAGCTTTTATTCACTACAGAGATCTAGTTGTAGGTTTCATGATAGTTCAGGGAGATCAAAGGGGACAAGTTTGTTTGCCCTCTGAAGCGTTGCAATTCTGGTGCAGTAGCAGTACTGGTTGTTGGGCTGAAATGTGAATTTTCTGCAGGAACTGAGATGGCACAGCTAGTTTGCGGAGGATGCCACACTCTCCTGATGTACATACGTGGTGCAACGAGTGTACAATGTTCTTGCTGCCACACTGTTAACCTGGCTATGGAAGGTAGACCTATGAAGCTTCAATATTATTTTTCTCTCGGTTGGAAGAAGTATATTCTGTGGTTTTGATTCCTGTACAAAAAAAATCCTACTTCTATATATTGTGCAGTTTGGAAACACTAGCAACCTGCCAATAGCATTTTAACATTATAGACTTGGCCTATCTTGAAGTCATAGTCATTGAAATTGGTTATTATTCAGAAAGATGAAAAGGTTGACAGGGATATCCTAGAATCACTGGACTTGAATGAATATCTCATAGAGCTACTTTAGTGTGCCAAGTCCAAGCATTTAAAGTTTCCAAAAAAAAAAAGTCCAAGCATTTACTAAAAGTTTCACAAGGATTTAGTGCCATGACCCAGTCATCAAGTTGTCAACTTTGTCAAAAGAAAAAAACATCACGTTCAGAAATTCTATATTGTTCAGAGTTCAGAAAATAAGTGCTCAACTCATTCTTAACATTTCCAGTGACGAATGATTTTCTTGTTTCCTATCGCAGCAAATCAAGTTGCGCATGTAAACTGCGGGAACTGCCATATGCTGCTCATGTACCAGTATGGAGCTAGGTCTGTGAAATGCGCAGTCTGCAATTTTGTGACATCAGTTGGGGTAAGTATTCATCCATCAGAGTGCACTTAAAAATAAATGTTGTATAAGACTAACAGCATTTCACTCTTATTCTTACGGTAAAACAACTTGTACTACCTTTGTCCACAAAAGAATGCAATTGTGGGAACCGTGCCGGTCAAGCAAACTCATGTTTAACCAACGTTATAGTAAATAATATTAGTATTTATGTCTCTAAGTAATTTTATTATAAAAATATTTTCTGTAACTAATCTAATGATACTCATTTTATATCACGAATGTTAGTACTTTTTTTATACAAATTTAGTCAAAGTTCAAACTGTTTGACTCCTCGTAAAACGAGAATTGCATTTTTTTGGGACGGATGGAGTATTTCTCATGAGAGTTTAAAATTAACCTACAATTTTCACTCTCTTCAGGCCTCACCTGGTGCAGAGCAGAAGCCCAGCAGCTGATAGTGTCCCTGAAAATACTGAGATCACCTATGAAGGCAGCTACTGAAAGGATGCTTTGAGTGCACATGTATAGAGTTCTTCCCTGAAGCAATTCTTTTTTTGTTCCTCCTCATCTCCATTCTCCCCCATCCACTTCTACGTTCCTTCAATGAATCTGGCGAACCCGTGGAATAAATGAGAGTTTTGGAAATAACTAGGGCTCAACCTCGTCGACTTGTCTGTAAAATCAAATGAGACATATATAAACCTATGGTATTTCCTTTGTTTCTGAATTTCTGAATGTTTCTCTGACTGTACTTCGATCCAAACCTTTTTGTACCCCCCCCCCCCCCCCCCCCCCCCCACCCCTTTTTTTCTAAAATGCATTCACCATGGTCTCTCTTGAAGTCTTGAGTTTAACTGAAGAAACTGGTGCATAGTAGCTCAATGAACTGACCCTAGCCCCTGGGAACATTGACACCGTTGTCAACATGGCATCCATCAAAGTGTTGAGATCAGAGGGTGCATCGCACCAGATGGTCAGGAACAGAAGCATTTGTTGCTTGCCGTGGCACAGGCCTGAATGCCTGATTGACTGCTGGGCTGGACACCCTCTCTCTGATTCTTATCCGACTGTGATTGCAGGCTTGGCCCTCTCCTAGCACTAGCAGCAGCAGGCAATGATGCCATGTGGCTTGTTTCAGTTCTTCAGGCACTGCAGAGGTCGACGGACAATGCCTATTAGTGTAGGATCAGTGATCCAGTTATTGCTATGTACGGATTGCCACAATTTCAGAGAAAATAGTGCAACACCTATGCCCGGATTGTCGCAATTCAGAGAAAATGGTGCAATAGTTCAGAAGGCAAACACACAATGATAAAAGGGGCAGTCATAGGTGGTGTTTGGTCGAGTCAGCAGTTGAGTAGCTGCAGTTGAGGAGCAGACAGCACAACGCCTAGATTTCCTAATCTAAATCTTTGCAGCGCTGTATCAACACCACTTTGCAGATTTTCGACAGCAGACAATACGGAGTGTTGATCAAGACGCTAATAGGTCATAGCCAGATCTTGATCTGTAAGATGACTAGTAGTTTTCGTGGATCTTTGACAGGGGAATACGTCACTTCTTTTGGGCCAGATGAACAGATGCCTTTTTCAATACGAATATGCCGTGGCACAATTATGCACGACAAGAAAGCTCAACAGCTTCATATGTCCGCATAGACATCTCTGATAAAGTTTTGCGTAACAAACATGTAATGACCATCACTTAAACAGGAGAAGTTTTATGCACATTGGAGCATTATCTAAAACACAAACTAGGTTCAATACTTATTAGAAAAACTTAAAGGATGTGCCACCTGCGCCAGTGCATTGGTGTGCTGAGTTTGGACTATGTAAGCCAAAAAAACAGATACATGCGAATGTGAAGCTCTCCATATGCTACACAACCAGGCACATATATTCTCTTCAACTCGATGTAATTGCACGGTTGGATATATGTAAAACTTGGATCAAAGCCTCAGAGAATCGTGCATCGGTTTCTTTGTTCTGCAGGAGATATCGTGGCCGGTTGAAACCTGTTTGGATCAAAGCTATCCACCCCGTACTGCCACAACAGAAAATGTTCATGTAAGCAAAGGAAAGAAATGAGCCACCCCCATAAAAATTACAAGGGTTCGAGAGAACCTCATACCTTTTCTCTCATTCTTTGGCTCCATGCGTCATTCCGGATTGGGCGGTAGTCGAGATTGGGCACCCTAGGATCAGCAGCAGCAGCCTGCTGATTCACCAACGGCTGCCGTATTCCAGACCTTGCGCCGATGTACTCATCATCACTGTCATAATCAGCTTGATTGCCCGACTGTACTATGATAGCTACAGTGAACAGCAATGCCTGCATAAAGAACAAGAAACAGTTTTCTGCTATTACTTCTAGCTGGTGAAGCATTGCATGCTGTGATGATAAGTCAGTTCTACGAAGCAAAAAGGGTGAGACATAGCTTGACGGGCACACAAGAAACAATTTAACCAATGCTAAACAAACACATGCAAGCTAAGGCTAGAAAATTTTCATAACAGGTACTATTTTTTCCACAGAAGCTCAAATGTATGCAAATTTCTTTCAGTTTCACCAGAAACCTCAACTCTTTCTAAATATGTTCTAATCAGGTCCATTCCAGTTGTCTAACATTACTACTGCCTAGTATAGTTTGAGGCATGACAGATGCCCATGTCTATATCGATACTATGGTAAAAATCACTCCCATTGTACAAGCCTAGTGATTAAAAATCATAATAGTATAACCCAAAAGAGACATTCTCAAAAATCTATGTGCAAAAGTTAGAAAGCATGGAATTTACTTTATTTTTCCCTAATATAATTTAACCTAATAACCTACAACAAAAACACCTTAAGTGAAGCAAGCAGGAATGGAATAAGAGAAGCAGCGTAAAGAGGATATGAAATATTTATAGGGACCATCCTGTAAACTCCCATAATAAACATACCACCAGGTTATATTTTGATAAATTTCATAAAATTGATTTACCCGAAAAGGATCTAAACTTAGATAAAGTAACAAGGTACTGAGCTTCAAATCCCAACCAATTTTCTCACAAGCTGCTTCACTTCACAATTACCCTACTGCTAACATTATTGTTTCCATTATTTGGATGGCTTCCACTACAATATGATAAAAAATTTAGAGCATGTCATCTATGTTCATACATAAAACAAACTTAATACATAGGCAAAATTGCTTGATCTCCTGAATGCTTGTATCAAATTACATACAACATTCCAAGGGCTTTGCTATTTCTTTTTTTTTTTTACCTCAAATACAACAGCTCCAAGTGCAACCCATTTTGCAATTCTCCAATTCTCTTTCAAAAAGCTGTACATCATGTCAAAGTTTCCTGTTTTGTCAACTGGGATGACCTGCAATGCGAAATTAAATTCAATAAGAAAAAAAATCATGCGCCACAGTAGAGACAGGATCTACAGTGTACTCACCTCTTTCCAACTATGGTTGAAGAAAATGAAGCCTCCTGCACCAAGCTCGACCAGTATGAACAGAATAATGAGGAATGAGTACTATTCCAGATGTCAAGGAAAGCATGGTATGCAACCACAGAAAATAAGTTATCTGCTAATGGTGTAATGGGAGACCTATACCAACATTAGCAAGAAGGGGACAGCAAAACATTAAAAGTACACATGAAACCTTTTTTTTAGTTAATTATTAATCAAGCCTTTGAACATTAGTTGCATCTTGTGTGTCATGTCGGTCAAATATAGAACAAGATGTTCCCATATTTCAATGTTCCCTATCGATGATTATTATGGTTGATTCCTTGCTTCACTGAGCACAACTACTTCATAATTGACAAGACAGTAACAGAAACCAAATTGGATATGAGCACACCACATGATACTAGGTTCATAAATAGGAGTCCAGAATTAATGAGGATACAATAGACAAGCAGCATCCATTTCTAGCTCCAGCACAACCAAAGATCGATGTGATAAAGAGTATAGCGCCGACACCAATGAACGCAAAAATAAACCTGCAGAAGATTTAAAACAAAGTATGAAAAAAAGAGATGTAAAAGATGATAAAAAAAGGGTGTACCCAGTGCAGAGAGCTCCCGCTCTGTGCGGGGTCTGGGGAAGGGTGTCAGTGGCAAGCCTTACCCTCGCTTGTGCAATGCGAGGAGACCACGACTCGAACCCGGAACCTTCCGGTCACAGGCGGTAAGACTCTACCGGATGATACACAAAGCAAAACATCCTAACAACGGTGCAACTTCATACATGATCACTGCAATTATACAGTGCTTCAATTGTAATGCTGAGATCATATAGTACGAAAATACATAATCCTTTCTGGATTAATCCTATTAAGATTGGGGTGTTCCTATGAGAAGCAAAATTAAAGATTGAGATGTTCTCAGTTCTATAAATAAAGTTGGAAAAAATATCAATTCCAGAAGTTGAAAGAACACAGTATTATCATTCAGATAGTTTTTTTTTTATGGGACATCAATTTCAGACAGTTATAAAAGAGTACAGATTGGGGAAAATATCCATGATGGCAGAAATTCCCAATATAGTAAAGTAGCTAAGGATACCACCAGAAAATGCCGAAAAGGAAAGGAAGATCTGTACTTGGGCTATGCAGTACCCACATACTGTACGATTTTGTAAGATTCTTGCCACGACTACATGCAATTGAGTCATTATTACTAAGTTGCAAGATCCACATTTGTCTATACATAACATGCAGAGTGTTCTTAAGCATCTAAGCTAATGATCTAAAGACACACTAGTGGTAGTGTCCGCTGCGTCTCCTAAATAAACCGCAGATGCCACATCAACCAACACATGAAAGGTAACAACAGAGGAGATCAGTCGTCACGCACGTACCAGGCACTGGAGAGCCTCTCCACGGTCCCATCCGCATCCGACAGGGACGCATCAACAAGGAGGAGCAGCGGCCTCCCGAGCCGCACGAGCTCGCCGCTGGGCGGCGCGACCTGCAGCCACATCACGAGCAGGTAGGCGCCGTAGCCCACCATGGCGAGCCCGGCCGCCATGACGACGAGGTTGAGCAGCTTGAGGACGCACTCGAAGAAGCCCCGGCACGCCATGGCCGCGGCGGCCTCCGATCCCTCCTACGCGTGCAAGGGACAGTCGGGAACCTCGCCTCACGCCGGAATCTCGATGGACCGGCCCCGGCCCCGGCGCATCAACGATGGCGGCTTGGGGGAACTCGTCGCATCAACGCCGGAAGCGTGGAGGGATCGCGGCGAGGCAGGCAGGGTGGGCTCCGTTGGGATGTTGGGAGGTTTCGGCGGATTGGGGGAACTCGTCGGGTTCTTTTCTTCTTGGGCGGTCGGAGGAGAAGATGGAATTGCGTTGGGAGTGGGTGACTACGTAGCGTGCGTTTTTATTCTCCTCGTAAGCCGCAATGAGTTTATTAACCAGGAGGAGTTACAGTAATAAATCACTTTATTATAAACCAAATATACTTTGGTGAAAAGATGACTCTGAAACCTCACGGCATATAATTAACTGATTGTCGCATGACTCTAAATCTCCTGCTTTCTGTCCTAAAAGAATACAATTTTAGATCTGATTAAAGTTGAATTATCTTATGTTTACTTAAGTTTATTAAAAATAGTATCAAGTTGTACGACTTGAAATAGGTGTCTCATGGAGAGTCTTATAATATTTTTTTCAGTATGATTTTTTATATAAATTTAATTAAACCTATCAATATTTAAATTACACCTTTTTCTTGAGACCGAGGGAGCAAATATGACGTACTTTGGATAACTTTTTTTCACGCAGTTTTACGTTGCATCACCACAGTACCAATTTCAGGTAGCCCAAAATTCTGAATTGCAGGCCAGGGCATATCATTCTATCATTATTAAATTAATAAATCAGAGCTCTTTGACACGCTCCGCCGTCGGTGTCGTGACACGAACACGAGTACACGACCATGGATAATTGGATAGGAATAGGATAGGACAGCTGACGCGAGGCGAGGCGCCGGCCCACCGCCCAAAGCATCTCGTTGTCTAGCGATTTCGAATTACCCATGGGCGAAGCATCTGCCGCTAGTGCGATTTTTTTTTAAGTCTAATTATAGTCCATGATTTGATAACGTAGTGCTATAATAAATATGTGCTAATAATGAATTAATTAGACTTAATAATTTCATCTCGTAGATTACTAGATACTTCTACAATTTATTTTATTATTACTGTTACTACCCAAACGCTCTCGTGCAACACTACCACGTGACATCCTGCTCGATTTAACACAACACCCATCCCAAGCATGCAGACACAGCGCAGCTGAAAACGAAATGAAATGTCCACGCCATGTCCCTGTCACCACTGTTTTTGGACTCTTCTCGTCGGCTTCGAATTGCTGCTGGGGATGAGATGGCAAGGACGGCTCTAAAAAAGGTTGGTCCGTTGATGAGTCACGTTTTAGGTCTGTTCGTTTCAACTTATCAACTTTTTAGTCACCACTGTTTTTGGACTCTTCTCGTCGGCTTCGAATTGCTGCTGGGGATGAGATGGCAAGGACGGCTCTAAAAAAGGTTGGTCCTTTGATGAGTCATGTTTTGGGTCTGTTTGTTTTAACTTATCAGCCGTCTTATCAGTATTTTTCTCTCACAATGTTTCAGTGCGCAGACCATAAAAAACGCTGCTTGGTTTCTCATTCTCTGACCGGGAATACGAAGATTGTGAAGTGCAAAACACAAGATAACAACAATTAACCGTGTAGTAGTACCAAAGACGAATTGGCAACGAAAACATTGCAACAAGACCAGCTATAACTTTCTCATGTCATGTGTCCAGTAGTAAGTCAAGTTTCTTCTATATCAAGGGATCCCCTGACTCTAGTTCAATAGGAAAATTACATGATCTGTTCTGTAGTTCCGGCCTCTCCGTTATCCATCTGGCGAATCCATGATTCAGTGGAGCTATAGCCGTGTAACTTCTTCCTCGCTAGTCAAATCAATGCATGTCATTCAGTCCGACACCTGGAATATTGTTTACAAGTATCGCAGGATAAGTTCACTATGTAATGAACTAATGATCATGATGAATTCATGATACAAAACATAAGCTACATGACGGAGACCAGACATATAGATTTAGCTACTTTCCATTCAGAATATATAGTCTACAGTATAATGCATACATTGAGCATTGAATCATCAAAAGAAGTTCTGGTGTAGTTCTCACATCTCAAAAACCAAAAAGTTCTGGTGTAGTTCTCAATTTGCCTTACCAATGTACAGGAATTCATGTTCGAGTTCCAACTAGGTTAGAATGAGGAAATTTCCACAAATGATAATCTTTTAAGTTTTAACACAGATTGAATCAGAAGTTGAAATTTTAAAAGTTGCAACAAGTCCTACTATATCATACTGCTTTCCAGGATTTTTTTGGGGGGTGGCATGACCATTCTGCAGCTCAAAGCTGATTGCAAACTCAAGAGAGAGAAAACTGGCAGTTTGCAATATGCGCAGCACATTAGCAGTAAACATCGGTAGCTCTTTCTCCTTTATTGCACACATTAGCAGTTCACATCGGTAGCCTTTTCTCCTTTATAGTTCTTGTTCTTACATGATCTAATGATATTTAATTATTTTCCTTTACAAACATGTCATTGCTTGAAATAGAAAGTGTGGACCACACTCTGTTCTGCAAATCCTTTCTATCCCTGACCCAGACTACAATGAGCTACACTAGTCCTAGAAAGATACACCTTTCACCTGCAAATACAAGAGTGGCAGAGTAATTTTACTACACAATCCTACTTATAGTAATGTTTTGAAAATGTGGACCAAGAAAATGGTGGTGAACTGGTGATACCACAAATTCACAAAACACTAATTCTGCAAGACTGCAACATATTCAGATTAACTGCCCTGTCGGTTTCAGCAAGTAGCCAATGCAGCAGATAAGCTATTTCTTTCTATGTAGCTTCCAATCGTGAAGGGCTTTTTGTGCGGCCAATATATCATGAGCAGGATGCTATATTGGAACAAAGCAAAATGCAGGTATATTGACTGTATTGGTTAACTATCTTGGCATAAACCTAACTAACTATCTTGGTAAGGTTAAAGAGCATAGTCTCAGATCAGCTAAATGCAAACCAAGCATCATTATGGGGTATGGAACACTAATCTAAAATATCTTTAGAAGGTCCAGTAGATCTTAAATCTTTTAGGCCAATTTCGGGGAAAAAAAACTTTTAGGCCAAGATAATATCTCATCTCAATAAATTGTACTCATATTATTTCTATGAATAGGCTATCCATCTGGTAAATTCACTGAAATTGCACCATGTCAATGTCCAAAAATGAACAGTGGTCGCTCCTAGGATATGCTATGCTGTAACGAATTTAAATTCTTAAAATAAATGAAAAATGAACCTTTGGCAGATAACACAGAGCATCATTCTGAGGCTTCAGACTTCTAATAGCAGGCCTAGGCAGCCACCTAAGGGTGAACTCTTAAATTTCACCTAAGTTCCTAATGAAACAAGACGTTGATACATCATTGCATCATTGTTCATGACCCGGGAAAAGTTAACAGCTATCATGACCATCAATTTATTCATTTATTTATTATACACTCAAGCACATACTCTTTCTAATTAATCTGATCAACATCAACTAATAAAATGGTATCAAACTTGCATTGCTGGATCCAATGTTGGCTGAGACCACGATGATGCGACAAAAGATAATTAGGAACACAAAATACTTGTGTAGGAAGATCATGTTGATAGCAAAAATGTTGACAGGCTAACCTTAGTTGTAACATCAACGTCATTAGGTTGATACTTTGATGTTAACTTGAAATGGTTTATGGACTAAATTTCCTTTTCTTTCTTTTTTTTCTTTTTTTTGGCAAACTAGGGGTCTAAATTTGAATTCAGCACAGGGCCCATGAAAAGTCCGGGACAGCCCTGATTATGGGGTATGGAACACCAATCTAAAATATCTTTAGAAGGTCCAGTAGATTTTAAATCTTTTAAGCAAATATAATATCTCATCTCAATAAATGTATCCATATTATCTGTCGATAGGCTATACATCTGGTAAATTCACTGAAATTGCACCATGTCAACGTCCAAAAATGAATGAATGGCGGGCGTGCTACATTTCTGAGGTTTCAATGAAATTCAAATTCCTACTGCTTTGTTTCAAATTCCAATGAAATAAAAGTGGGGCGAAGCCCTACAGTTCTGAGGTTTCAGACTTCTAATAGCAAGCCTAGGCAGCCACCTAAGGGTGAACTCTTAAATTTCACCTAAGTTCCTAGTGAAACAAGACGTTGATACATCATTGCAACATTGTTCATGATGACTCGGGAAAAGTTAACAACTATCATGATCAACAATTAGCAACATATGGCTCCACTGATGTATCAGAATGAAGAGAAGAAAAGGTTGCAGAAACCTTACCCTACCAAAATTCTCAGGCAAAGGCGTCCGCCTATGATGCTGCCTCCGATGCCGTCTTGGTGCTCCTGAAGTCCCGCTTGAGCTCAGTGACCCTCTTCATGCACGCGGCCTTCGTCTTCCCGGGTACAGAAGCCGCCACCTTCTCCCACCTCATTGCAGTGTCCTTGGGGAACTCCTTGAGCGCGTTCAGCAAGGCCCGGTCATCCCCGGCGCTCCAAGCGGCGTCTGCACTCTCCGCGCCTCCAGCAGTGTCCCCAGTGTCAGCAGCCTCAGCCCTCGGATCGAGCGGCTTCCGCTTGCGTAGGAACTGCTCGAACGAGCTTCCCCCCGCCCCCGGGGCGCCCGACTTCGCCGCCCGGATGACACTCTCGGGCGTGCGGCGGCCGCCGAACACCGCGGCGATCTTCTCCCAGCGCTGGGGTTCACCCGCCGGGTGCTTCACCATCTGCCGCCGGAGGAGTTCCAGGTCCTGGTCGGTCCACTCGCCGGCGTCCTCCTCCCTCTCGCCGCCGTCCTCGACGGCTCCACCCGCAGCCGTCGCCTTCTGCAACGGATGCAGCGATGCGGCCGACTGGACGGAAGGAGTGACCGGATCTGAGGGCTTTGTGGGCGTCGGGGCCGGGTTCTGGCGACGGCCGCGGCGGGGGGCGGGCGTGGGTTCCGGTGTGGGTTCCGGGGCCGGTTCTGGAGCAGGAACGACGCGGCCTCGGCCGACGGAGATGTCGCCGCCAGTGGCCCAGCAGGGCGCGAAGGGGGCGAGGATCAGGGAGGAAGCGACCCATATGAGGAGGGAGGAGAGGATCTGGTAGGCCGGGGGGAGGTAGTACGCGGCGGCGAGAAGCGCGACTGCCGCGGCGGCGCAAGATGCGGCGTGCGGGAGGGAGATGGGTGCTTTGGCGGTGGTGGAGGAGGAGAAGGAAGTGGAGTTGGCGCCGGAATGGACGACGCGGGCGCGGGACTGGGAGTCCCAGGGGTCGATGAACTCCATGGTCGCCGGCGCTCGAGTTCGTGGCTCGCCGGAGTCTCACGAAGCGAAAGCGACAAGTGAAGAAAGGGTCACTGGCCAGATCGGATGATGGGATCAGATGGTCTTCCCTTTGGAAGAACCCCAAACTGTTACTACTTCCTCTGTCCAAATGATGTTTTTAACTTTTATTTATAAAGTCATTCCAGTTTTCGTTTTTATAGAGAAAACACATTTGTCTTATTTTTTTATAAAATGAAGAATCTAATAAATGATAATATATTTTGTTATATAAATTTGGTAAGTATCTAAATACTGTCAAAAAACTTTGACTTCCAAGATTCTAATGATAAAATAAATCATAATAAAATAGATAATATTTATAAATTTTTTAAAATAAGACGAACGGTAAAACAAGACGTAAGTAAAAACGTCACTTATTTTGAGATAGTGAAAATACAATATTATTTTCAACACAAAAAGAGAAATATTTGACAAGGATTCGTGCTAATGCACTGGAGTTTGACTAACGTCGTCTTTGGCGATGCTTTTTTTTTCAAATGGTTTAACCTAAGAAGCCATGGCAGCCACATTTAGGCAGCTTTACTCCTCTGATAAAACGGCTTCTCTCGTCTACGGCTTCTCTCCTACAACCATTTGATAAGATAGTGGGCGTGTGTTCGGGCCGTTTAAAATTACATATACGGTCATCCCATCACGAGAATTGAGAAAATCCCGCAAAATACCTCACTAGAATCGATGATTGTTTCCACTACCAGACACGACCACCACGAGATTGAACTAGCGTGTGTTTCCTGTACCACGGCCGCGGCACCAATACTGCACCGTGTAGTGGGCATGCCATGGTCCCAAACACGCGTTTTGGCTGGACTTCACCTCAGAGAGGCTAAAACCGAAGCCCCTAAAAAAGCCTTGGAAAAGAGGGCCCAACTCTTACAACAATGGACTCCTCTAGATTAGAGCATTTGGCACATCTAAAACACTTCGTGTTGCCATATAAACAATTAAAAATAAAAAAGATATAATCATGGACGTTGCTTAGAGATTAGACGAACAACTATTTTTTACTCTCTGTCTAACAAGAAACTTAGAAACAACATATCACTTTATCTTGGAATATCTCTTCTCTAGCCGTGTATAGAAGTGAACCCTGAAATCTAGTGCCAAGATCAGGAACGACAATCTTGGCTTCAAGTCATCGTGAATAACGATGACAATGTAGCTCACACCCTACCGATTTTGGTCACCGGGACATCATGGAAGCAGAGAAACAAGTGGATTTTCAAGCTCGGGCTTTGTTTAGATATAGTCAGATTCACATCAATCTACATACGTTGGGGGCGATTGAAGTGAACTTAGACTAAATTATCCATCTCAACACATGTGGATTGAGACGACAACATTTAAACAAAGGCTTCAAGGAACGAGAAGTATTATTCGAAATTGTTGACGAAGCCATCCCGTGAGAAAGTAGCGGAGGTAAAAGATCTTAAACTTGTGATAGATAGACATCGAGTAAATAATAGCTATTAACTTACTAGCAGTTTGTCTATTCCTTTCTTAGAGCATCTCCAAGATTCTATCTACCTTACTAATTCACCATCTTTTTCTTTGTTAAACCCACGCTGAAAAACGTCCCCCACTGAGGAGCCCCACATCCATCCACCCAGAAAAGTGTACCCAGAAAAATGACATCTTCAAAATGGACTGTCCAGATTTACTTATAAGCATTCTCTCTCCTTAGTCCCTCAAATCAAACGGTCCAAATTATGTGTGTCAACCTACTCGTCCCTCCCCTGTCCCCTCCCACGCCCACGCCCAGCCCCGACGCCCACGTTCCCCCGACCACGGTTTGATTCCTCAGGCCTCAGGTTCTCTTTTTTTTTTTTGCGCAGGCACCACGCTCCGCCTAGCGGCCACCAAATGCCGCGTGCACCAGGCCTCACGCTGAGAGTACAGGAGATCCGCCGCCACTGCCAAAGCGAAGCGAGCAAGCAGCGTGCGCCAGCCAGGCCTCCACCACCAGCACTTCCTCGATGGCGCTGCAAACCTTCTTGTATCACAGGCCTGTTGCTGCTGGCTGTTGACTGGCGGGTTACATTTTTTTTAGAGCGCGCCAAATCGCGTATTTCATTAAGCAGAACAGAAGTTTTTAGAACAAACAACAAGCATGGTAACACTCCGAGCACACGGGGATTACACCAAGTTACATGTTGCGACTTAGCGTGGGCAGCCGGTGGATCAAGCCCCCAAAACGGACAGCAGCCCGCCCTCTCACCACCACCTCATCCTGAATAAGCTTTCCTCGATGGTGCTGCAAACCTTCTCTCCTTCCATATAAGCCATCCCACAGGAGAATAGAAAGTCAAAACCTCTTCGTTTTTGCTTGAAACACATTTTCATCTCTAACAGCGATGGTGAGTGAAGATTTAGCCTGTTACATCCCAGTAAGATGTGATCAATACCTGCTGGTCGGCTGCTGTTGCCTGGCTGCTTCTGTTCATCGTCATCTGAGGCAAATAGGGAGCAACAACAAGGAGAGGCAGTGAGGGAAATACACAGGATGAGGAACCCAAAGGCCAAAGTATATCCATTACCACAAGTCTACAAGGGTGGCTGGAAGAGGGTGCAACGTCATCTTGCTTCAGGGATCGGTGACTTGCAGGCTTGCAGCGGCGGGACTGAGCAGATGCAGTGCCTTTTTTTTAATCGGATGTCTCCAAAGAGACATGCAGTGCCCTTTTGGCGTGCTGTTACAGGTGCAGACCATGTTCGTGGTGTGCTGCTGCTAGCCTGCTACATCACGCGCCGCCTTCTCCAATCTCAATCCCTAAGGGATGAGCGATGAACACAGCCTCCTTTACTGCATTCTTATCTGTTTGAAAGTACATATGCTATTGAAACTTGCTCCTCATTAACTGCTACTGCACTCTTATCTGTTTGAAAGTACATATGCCATTCTGTCCTAATGTTTCATAGTTTACTCGAATAACAGAGCACAAGTTACTCCTACAATTCTAGAATGCCATAACATCTGAACTTATGTCTCCTCCATGCTATCTGTTAAACAATTTTTGTCTGGTTTGTAGTTATCCATCTGTAATCATATTATTATGTTTTTGTAAATTTGCCATTATAAGGTACATTGCTGAGCTACAGAATGAAAGCACAACAGCCAAATAAAATGAGATTGATTCTCTGGGCTACAACGTATGGAAGACGGGCTGGTACGCTCCAAGCCACGCCGGTGTTTCTAGTGCACCTCAGCCCAAAGGGCTGAGCCGTGATTCATCGACAAGCTCAACAAATCACCAAACGTAATTTTAGGTACTAATTTATGCTATAAGCTAAATTTAAGACCAGTCAAGTAATTATAAGTAGTTTATTGTGCTGCCGAGCACAAGAACGTCAAATAAAACAACATTTAAAACAAAGTGATATTTTCACACTAGCTCTACTTTATTAACAACATTACCTGCAACATCAAACGTTGCCAATAACTTCTGAATGAAGATTTAGTGCATTACAGATTAGTAAGTCAAATTGTGGCACTGTCAGACTGCCACAATTACACAAATCTTACAATACACAGTTCATTTAGCAACCCCCTACTTCAACACTGGAAAAAAGAATAGAGCTCATCAAATTTAACAGCAAACAAGAGTATGAGTCAAGCAGCAACTACTCAAAGGATGGGCATACACCTACCCCTGTTCCTTCACATTCAAAGGGATCAGCTATAGACAAATCATGGGCATGAGTAATATGCATAAAGTCGTGGTCACATCTTTTAGTAGTAAAATAAAACTGAGCACATCTTGAAGCCCTCTTCTCCAGCTGGAGCAGCTGATGCTGCTCTGCAAGAAATCTTTCACTCACATTGTACCTTTGACCCTGAAATGCCACGTTCAGTACAAAGAATGTTGCAAAGTTAACTTGTGACCTTATGCCTCGATAACGATTCAACACAACTGTCTTGAGACGGATGTCAAGGCATTTGACAAGATTACGATGTTTACGGCGCCATAAATTCTTGTCTCCACCCTGGTATGACTGAAAAGGGAAAAAACAGTATACAAACACAACCAATTCAAGAAGAATTGACACAATATTAAACCAGATCCAAAGAATATATGAACACAATGAATTTACTAGTTTAGTATGTTTACCTGGATATACAACTTCTCCAAGCATGGGAAGCATCTCATTAAGTCAATAATCACATCCAGGCTAAGAGTAAAAATATAGACCGCTAAAATCTTGACAGTACACGCCGGCGTTGTCGAGTTAAAGACCCGGAATTCCTTTATGCTGCATGGCTGCATGAAACATGTGTCACCCATCTATAAATGACTATATTTTCAAGTATTTTTCTGCACACAGAAAAGCAACTCAGAACCTGTAGGCAAGAGGTACCTCAATAATCATAGAGCCCAACGTGAGCCTGGAAGAGTAATCAGAAGAATTTAGGCAACCCAAGGTCTCCAGATTGGGTGCTGAAATAACTGACACTTGCAGTCGCATGCCCCTTTGTGTTGGTCGATGATACAGAATCCTTTTAAGACAAGGGGCATCCTCGACGATGAATTCTTCTAAGAACGTCAGTGTCGGTTCATACCCAGCATTAGCACCCACCCCAATGCTTGTAAGGCTAGCTGAGTTGATCCTGACACAGCGGAAGCCAAAGATGGCGCTAAGGGCGTCCCCAATGGCCTTTACAAGTCGCCGGCTCAAATAAAATAAAATATGAAATAAATCTAAAGTATAATGAGAGGATAGCAAAAGGAAGGGAAGAGCAGTGACACAGATAACATCGGAGACAGTGCGATCTAAGCGATTGAGGACTCGCTAGCGCTTTCTTTGGGTTAATTGGATCTATGCCATTATAATTTCTTCGTTTATGAAGAACGCTATTACTATTCATCTATTTGTAAGCATGCCATTATAATTCTTCGGTTCCCACAAAAATGCCACTGAATACGTATGGACACAGTCTGGGCCCAGCTGCAGGCGTATACGAAGACGTATACTTCATCTCCCCTGTCACTGACACGCGGGCTCCACATGTCATCTTCTTCCTCCTCTTCTCCGAACCTCTCTCTCTCTGGTTCTCTCTCTCCATCCCGAGCGCCAGGCCGCCGCGGGTCGCCCATGGCGATGGCCGGCGCCGCCGCCGCGGGTCGCTGCCCCCTCCTCTCCCGCCCGTCCCTTTTCCGGCTCCGCCTCCTCCGCGCCGCCCTCTCCACTGCCGCCCCACCTCCACTCCCGCTCCCCCTCCGCGGCACGAGCTCCTTCTCGAGCGCCTCCGCCTCCGCCACCTCAAGGACGCCTCGTCCCCTAGCGTCCCCGAGGCCCGCCTCGAGGCCATGAGAGCGAAGCTTCATGCAGGGAAGGGGGAGAGGGTCAGAGGCCACCGAGAGCTTCGAGGAGCTCGGCCTCGGGGAGGAGGTGATGGCCGCTTCGGGAGATGGGCATCTCAAGCCATGAGCAGCAGATGCAAAGACAAGCCCTCCTTGCTCCAGCGCCTCCACCAAGCACCGCCGCCGCCATTGCCGGGTCGACCCGAGCTCATTGATCTCCTCACACAAGCCATCTTGCACCCTTCCCTGCTTCCATCGGCCATAGCGCTCCTCTCTCGCTCTCTCTCTCTCTCTCTCTCTCTCTCACGCCATTATCATTATTATACTACTGACCAGCAGCGGCAAGAAGAAGACCGCCAGCAGCGCCATGGCGAAAAGCGAAGCGACAGCAATGGCGGCAGCCCTGGCCTGGGGCGGGGAAGGGGCGTGCTGTTGGAGCTCAGCGGGGACGGGGATGGGACCGCTACCGCCAGATCCATGGAGGAGGAGGTCACGACGACGCCGACCATGGAGGAGGAGGCGCCCATGCCATGAGGGAAGGCCAAGAAGACGCCGAGCAACAGCAGCACGGGTCACCTGACAATGACTTGTCGGCTGGCTCGCTTTGCAAGCCATAGCCCGCCACCGCAGACACCCACCGTGGCCGCGTCGGGATGGAGAGAGAGAGCCGGAGAGAGATGAGGAAGAGGAAGATGACATGTGGGGCCCACGTGTCACTAACAGGGAGATGAAGTATACGTCTTCAGCTGGGCCCAAGCTGTGTCCATACGTATTCAGTGGCATTTTTGTGGAAAACGAAGAATTATAAAGACATACTTCCAAATAGACAAATAGTAATGGCGTTCTTCAGAAACGAAGAAATTATAATAACATGAATCAATTAAACCTTTTTTTTTTTGCATTCTCTCTCTTCGACATTGAATAAAATACGTTCTAGCTAGCTATTTGCTCTCCCGTTGGACACGCCCTAAGCAGCAAGGGCTCGAGGATGGGAGAACCAGCAATAATGTTATGCAGGGAATCCTCCGAAATGTTGATCCATTGAAGTGCGAGCTTCTTGAGCTTGGGGAACCGAAGCGCCTGGGCGACATCGTCAGAGAGGTGGCATTGGCTGAGAGTGGCGACGCAAAGGCACGACGATAACCGGAAGGCAGATGCCGGCGGAGGTGGCGGTTGCAACACCTGCGGCCCCCAAATGAAACGGATCCAACAGTCAATCTCTTGGAGGTTGTCGAGGGCGGGGGATCGGAGCCATGCATCCACAGTGGCGGGGTGGTCTTGTAGTCGTTGTGCGGGGAAGCGAAAGCGGCGGCCGGAGCCCCGGTGTGCGGAGAGGATGCGGGAGACGACATCGATGGTGCGAAGGTCACCGCCGTCGAGGTTGAGAGGGGCGGAGCGCCAGAGATGGCGCCACCGGGTGGCGAGGATTTGGGTGCGTGCGGCATCCCTGGTGGGGAGGAGAGAGATGACCTCACCCAGAATGGCGTCCGGGAGGAGGCTGATTCGGTCGATCCCATCTCCTTCCTCTCCGCCGGCTCCAGGCGGTGGATCTTGGATGTAGGGTTCGTCTCCTCCGGCTCCAGGAGGACTGGAATCGGGCGCACTCGTCGCTGGTAGCGGCGAGATGTTTACTCCACCCTCCTGTTCCGCGCTCTCGGGTGCCTCCGGCTTCCTTCTCTTGGCACGGCGAGCCGCCGCCAGAGTCTCCATTGGCCGCACCTGATTGGCCGGTGGCCCGGTGGGTGACTGGGGTAAGGGGGAAGAGCACACGGCTGGCTCAAGAGCGCCGCCCGCCGCCACGCTTCTCAACCTCACGAGGTTGGGTGCGCAGCGTGCACCGTGCAGCATCCAGGCCTCCCGTTTCCGGCCCATAGCGCGCCCACCTACGTTAGGCTTCACCACCACATTTTTCAGGAAAAAGTTCACGTTACGGAAAAGCTTAGTTATAAATTTATTTATATTTAATAAGCATAAACCTAAATAAAATCTATAACTAAGTTATACGTGATCCAATAAGTATAATTTTTTACTACAGTTTAAGCATACAATAATTAACCCACCATAAAAATTTCACCATAATTGGACCACAGAAACAGCAGCTATGAATTATTCCATTTAATTACGAAAAACATAGATCTAAAGCTACAGCATAAACTTTGTACTAAAACATACCATATTATATATTCATTGTGTAGATTTACTCATGTGGAGTCCAACAAAATTAGATTTTCTATTTTATGATTTACTATGATTTTTCAAAGATTCAGCCAAAATAAATAAATAAATAAAAGACAAAACTGCCTTCAAAACCACTTATAACCGGACCAGGGAGGTAAGATGAACGATTTTAAAAGTTGAGGGAGGTGTTTTGCCTGATTTTGGAGTTCAGGGAGAAAAAAAGCGGATTTTTGCGAAAATTGAGGGAGGTAATGCAGACTTTTTCCTTTTTTGAATACACAGCTGCAGCACAACACCCAACAGGGGATTGGCATATGATGATCATGTTTGCTCAAAAAAAAAAGATGTTGATCAAGTTGCAAACTTTGCGCTTGAACTAACTTGTGTGTTAGGATAAATAAAAACCATAGAGAATCAGCATGTAATTGGGTTGGAGTGATCTATTTTTTTTAAAAAAATCCGAGTGATCTATTATTATTCATCTGAACCCACAACCTGTTTCCACGATAATTTTTCCTTTTTTTAACTAGCACACATGTCCATACATCGCAACAGGAGGAAAAATGCTATCAAATGTTAATGGAAATGGGGATAGGAATATTACATATCTATTTATTTATTTTTAACCTTTTCCGTAAGTCGGGATAACCATGGCATCTATAATATAAGTTAATATTGGTAATAATATGTCCTATTAAATCTATCTCAAATTAAAATACGATCTTGATAGATATATTTCCTTTCATTGTAAGGCAAAAAAAAATATTTAGTCATAAATAATATCATAGATTTATTTCATACTATTTTTATGTTGGTAGAGTTCGAAGTTTCGTGATTTCTTTTAAAGGTCATAATAAAAGTATGCAATTCTAATATCTGAATTATATTCATAAGGAGATAGTTACCGGCGTGTCAAGGATTAGTCTATCCCTTCATGATTATGAAGGAGATCTATCTCAATTTCTACATGGCAGCCCTCATCGAGGATTACACTGGTACATGCGTGCAACTTGGAGTTAGATATATTTTGATTAGATTGATAACAAACTGCTCAATATTTGTTCACGGTTCAATTGGTTGGACCATAGGCTATTAGTTTGATTTCTTATTAAAACTATATAAAAATTCATTGGTCAAAATATTTATTTATTAGGCAAAAGTCAGAGTTCAAAGACATCTATTTGTTATTTTTTTACATCTGTAAGAAAAAACAATAGATACTCTAGTCTATAAATAAAAGAAAAAAAATTAAAAGAGTATAGAAAGGAAAGGAAAGGAGAAAGAAGTAGATATGAACAAAAGAGGTGGACACTAAACCAATCAACCAGTGCAAACTTGAAAACTACTAATCAGGACCACTAGATGCTGATCCAATGAATGGGGTGAAGGAGCTTAAAAAAAAAAAAAAAAACCAGCGGGTGGGGGCTTATGCACAAAAAAAATCTCACCTCTCACCCCATCTATTGGATCAACATCTAGTGGTCATGATTGGTAGTTTTCAAATTTGCACAGAGTTAATTGATTTACACCTGATATATTGCCATAGAAAAAACGGATCAAACCAAAGAACGGACGCGGTTACTAGACACGGGAACAGCAACGGAAAAAACACGGATACAGATTTAAGCTGGATTAAAAAATTTATGACAAATTTTTTTGTTAAGTATAAAGAAAAAACTTAAAAGAGTATAGAACGGAAAGGAAAAAGAAACGGAACTTAAAAGAGTATAGAACGAGAAGGGAAAAAACAAATGCAAACGCTCACGGCTCACGGAAAAGGTACACATGGAAAAAAAGGACGTGGACAAACCAAAGAAACAGACGCGGTTAGTGGACGTGAGAATGGCAACTTTATTTTTAAACAACACCATCCACTTTTTTGAGTTAGGAGCATTGTACAGGTTACAAACACCATATGCTGGATTCAAGAACAAAACATGTCACTCTAAGTCGGCATGGATCAAGCTACGAGCTATTCTATGAACATCGGTATTTGAGTCTCTATGCTCATGTACAAACTTGACACTTCTAAAAGTTGCTTTCCTCGCATTCATCTCTCGGATTACCTGTCCATAGATTCCGAGATCGCCTTGTTGGATGCTCTTCACGACATTCCCCGAAGGACCAGCGCCGAGGCTCCCATAAATCGACCATCCTACGTGAGAATGGCAACAAAAAGATGTGATAATAGATTTGGACTGGACGAAAAAAATTTAAGTAAAAATTTTGGCTCTTTAATATTATATATACATAGATACAGAAATTCATATATAAATTTCTCGTGCAATTTTGTGTGAAAAATTTCCAAAATTACCTTCGCAGAAAAAAAAATCCAAAATTAAAATTTGGGCGTTTACCACGAATCTTGGGCCTTGGGCTCTTGGACCAAGCGATGCTTTTCCGCGGGCCGTTGGGCCCGTGGAACCATATCCGTTGCAGTAGACTTCAGAAGCGCTAGTTCGTTGCTATTGCTGCTGTGCTGCCAACTGAAGGGATGCGAGCCACCGCAGGAGGCCGCGCGGTGTTCCACCTCCAACACCTCCGCCCGCGCCCGCCATGGCGAGCCCCTCCTCCTCCCGCCACCACGCACCTCTCCCACTCAGCGCCCGCGAGGCGCGCCGACCACCGTCGCCTCCCCAAAGGTTTGTCTTACCAGCTACGCCCGCCAATCCCGCCCCCTCGCACGGAGGGTGTTCGACGGAATGCCCCCCCGGCGACGCCTTAGGTACAGGTAGTCGCGGGCATGCTGTTGCTGCTCGTGGGGTGCTTCTTTGCGCGATGGATTTTACTTCGCTACGCTTCTATTGAGGCCTGCGTGCTGTTCACGCTTGACTGCCTGCCTAGGATTATTTATTACCTAGTACTAGTTTCCACATCGTATTTGCCTTACCAAAGCAAAGAAAATGGTTGCCTGCAAAGTGTTTGAGAGCAGCTCCAGTGTACTCCTCAAATCGAACCGAGGGAAAGTAAGATTCGATTAAACGAACGGAGCGCACTAGAGACATCGACTTCTTCCAAAATCGGACTTTGCAGAAGAGTCGAACTGTGCGACGTCCTCCCTATTAAAATATTATGCTCAATCGGCTTTAGGGAGTGCACAGCGTGTGCATGAGCGGCCAGTTCAGATTTTTTTGGTTGTTTTTTGAAGCAATGGTCGGATGCCACACTAGAGCTTGCGAACTTTACTTTACCAGATCAAAATGTGTTAGAACAATGTCAGTTTGGTTCGACGCCACACTGCTGATGCCCTGATGAAATGCCCATTTCCAGTCATGCTTCTCAGTTTGATTTTTTCTTGCAGGAAACCAAAACTCTGCTGCTCCCACAAGCATTATTATTGTGGTTTTCAGTGTCGTTTCAATTTTCGTACATTGTTTTTAATATTTTCCACTCGTGCTGCCTTCAACTCAGGTTCTTTATCAACTCTGGAACCGGGGATTTCATCAGTCTACTTGTGTCGGCGGGCACACTCTGCAACATGTAGCTATACGTTGGATGACAGGTTACAGGGAGAGCTAGATGATATGAATGTAAATTCTTTTCTGAATATTTTAGCAAGTCTATTTCACTTGTTCAACAGGCCAACAGGTCCTGACATTGAAACCCACGTTCTGGTTCATTAATGACATGGGAATCATTGTAAAACTGATGACTTACATAAAAGAATGGAAAGTGAAATTCTCACTCTTGGCAGTTAACTAATTTTCACGCCTCAAGCACTAACCTTATGAAGCACTTGTGAGTTGTTTAATTGAATCATCGCACAAAAGAAGACCGTATTTTCTTGGGCATTAAACTTCATGATCATGCTTACCTGCTATTCTTCTACTCCTTTACCTCATTCCAGGGAGAACAGAGAAAGCAAGAGACAGTTGGTGCATTTCAGAAAATACCAATGGTGATGCCTGCAACTGATATACTAATGTCAGCACAAAGGAAATCTAGAAATGTGCCACCAACAAAGGGTATGATTCATCTGACCATTAACCATTTATTATTCACACTGCTAAATGAGTGAAGATCGTTCTCTTAACATTTTGTTTTAGCATGACCAGATGTTTGCTTTATGAATCATATGTAATGTAGGTATAGCAAATATTGCTAAGCGTGAAAGGAACAAAGGTGCGAAACAGCTTGATGCCTTAATGAAAGTAAGTGGATCATGTTGTCTCTCTGCTGAGTAAGTTCATTTATTTGATATTGAGAACTGTTTTGTTTCTCAGGAACTTTCTGTACCGCTGAGAACATACACAGAAAACTTCCCAAAGAGGAGAGATTTGCATCCTTATGAGAGGTCTCTCATTGAGTTGACTTTTGGGGAGGGTTATTATGAGCAGGTATAGTTCTAAGAACTTCGTTTTCTTGGTATTGAGTATTGGTATGAGATTGTCCATAATGGCACAGAAACAAGTTATCAACTTGGTATGAATAATACTATGATACTTCTCCCTTCTACTCGTTGTGTTATTATGATGTTGTTGGTAGTGCCCTGCCAGGTTCTAGGACGTGTGGATACTCTCAGGAAAAGGATTACTTCTGTTGGAAAGCAACATGCTTCAGTCTGTGCTAAGGTGAATGCATACCAATTGATTTATACATTAAATTATATTCCAACTTATGGAAATGCATACTGGTTTACTGTACTTGGAGATAAGATGTACAATAAGGTATTGTTCAAGGGAAAATGATCAAATTTGACTCCCACATTCAAGTCAAGACATGTCCTCTGAAACTCTCTTGTGTGCGTATACTTGCAACTCATAATCCAATAATAGTTATGCTAAGTATTGAACCATCTCACCACGTTTTCAGTCCAGTGGATTAGTTTGATCTCACTTTGCAAAGTTACAAAAGCATGGTTTCAGTTTTCGGAATATGATTGTTATCAGTTTGTTCTCACTTGTGACTAATAAAATAACAGAAAGTTACACTCAGTATCAGTGTTACATCATATTAAACATTTTCTAGGAAAACATGGGATGCTATGTCTAAAATCTAATATTTTGATCTGTAATCTTTATTTAATAAACTATCATTTTATATTTGGAAAATCTTGACATTGCTCCCATAACTGGAAATTTGGGTAATATTTGTTTTCTTTTTCATAGAATAATATGGAATCTTATTCCTGATGTATATATATTTAACCTTGACAGTCAACAACAAAACGTGAAGCAGAGGAGCGCCTCACCGAGGTCTGTTCAGATTCCAACTTATACAACGATTTCTGTTCTCGATCCTTTGTCGCTGTCTTATGGCCATTGACAAAAAAATTCTGGAAGTGACCCTGTAGTTGCATTGCTAATGTTTTGCTTTTGTGTCTCTATCTACTTTTCCAGGGCAGAAAGAAACTTGAAGAGGCTTTCCAGCATGGGAAGCATGCCATTGATGATTTAGTAAATGTTGCAAAGGTATTAACTGCAGTTATCTTTCTTTCAAGTTGGAGAATAAGAAAATGATTTCGGTGCCTCTTTTTTTTGCTGATGTTATTCAGGCTTCTAAAATTTTTAATTTGATTTATGGCTAACTTTTGAGTTGCTACAGGCTTTGCGTTCTATGCCTGTTGTTGATCTACATATTCCAACACTATGTCTAGTTGGATCACCCAATGTGGGGAAGTCATCATTAGTCCGCATATTATCATCTGGAAAACCTGAGGTAATGCTCAGCACAGTTTGTATGTTGGTAGATGGTAGATACAGTTTCACAAGCAATTTCTGCTCAGCACAGATTGTATGTTGGTAGATGGTAGACACAGTTTCACAAGCAATTTTCTATTGCTAATGTGTAATCAGAAGTAGTTGTGATCGTCTTGTTTGACTTGTTGAGTTCTTACCAAACAGTAGTTTTTTAATGTTCATGCCTCATCCAATGTGTTCCTGTATCAAAGAATGTGTTCTTCACTGGTGAGCTTCAGTTAACATCTTTGAGAGGCTTGACTTAGTAGCAAAACGTTTCTGTTTATCGAATATACATTCTTGGAAAAATGCCTGACTACGGGTTCTGATTGTTGAGTACTTGAGTTTGTTCCATGTCATCATTTAAGCATTGGTGGCTGCAATAGTATTATCTGTAATATACAGTTAGCTGATTGCTAAATTCCTCTCGTGTCTCATCCTACTTGTATTTCTGCAGGTCTGCAGCTACCCATTCACAACAAGAGGGATTCTAATGGGTCACATTGTATCCAATCACGAACGTTTTCAGGTTCAATCATAGAACCATTAGACTTGACACCAGTTTTGCTTCCTTTGCTTTTCTTCACAACTGAACAAAGGCATCCTTCTGCAGGTTACGGACACTCCAGGACTCCTAACGAGGCATGATGGTGAGTCAGACTTGGTTCTCAAAGCAGTCTGCTTAAGAGGCTGTGTAGCTTTCATGTGTAAATGTGTGATATTTTTGTTAGTAAGTTCAGATGATTAATTTTCCTTTGTGCCTGATAAAACAATACTGTAGAAAATATGGTTTCTAGTAAAACTAAGAGTGACTGTCATTTACATAGTGTGTCTCTTTTTTATATTTTAGTTTATTGCTTATTATAGGCACATATTACTGCACCAAAAGCTCTGATCCATTTTTTGTTTTGGGTTTTTTTAAAGATGACAGAAATAACATAGAGAGATTGACACTTGCTGTCCTTTCATATCTACCTATCGCTGTCCTGTATGTGCATGATCTATCTGAAGACTGTGGGACCTCAGTGGCCGATCAGGTACATCTTTTACTTCTCTGTAGCTTCTGGTGTCATTTATACCCATTCTATTCTAGGGGACACCAGAAATACTAGCTTGCCTAGGTCAATCAGAAGAAAATTCAATTCTCAAAAAAATCAGAAGAAAATTCTTTGCCATGTGTTCAGACATGCCAAATCACAAGTTTCACATCCCTGCACTTAAGCTGATGTTTTGTTTGGCAGTACATCACGTACAAGCATATTAAGGACAGATTCGGCGACCGCCTATGGCTTGATGTTATATCCAAATGTGATCTTTTGGGAAAGAAAGAGCCCATAAGCTTTCACGATGCTGATGCTGATGTAGCACAGTACAGAAGATTGGGGCCAGAAGGCGCCCTCCAAGTATCTGTGCCGAGTGAAATCGGCGTCAAAGAGGTTAGCTATTCTCGTGCCAGCCTCATACTTAAATCTATAAGTTGTGTTTACTTGTTGCTTATTGTAGCGACTGCCAGGCCCGTTAGAATTTAGACTAATATATTGCTTCTGTGTCTCTCCAGCTAAAGGAAAGAGTGCATGAGCTACTGACCTCTCAGATGGCTCGGATCAAAGCTAGCAAGGCGGAGCATGAAACACAGGAAGTAGGGACAAGTGTTGTTTACTGAAATTTGACAATGAGCACTCTGAATATCCATGCTGCATGTTTGTGTAAACATTCCACTAATGTCGATGACGGTAACGCATTTCATCTGTTGTCATTTTGCCCATTTGGAAAGGGTGGTCAATATGAATTGTTAGTATGAATGTGATTGCCCATTTTCTTTCCCCCTACCTGGCCGTTATCCGTTCTTTAGCAGGGTACACCGTCCGTCCCAGAATGATCACCATTCTTGTTTTCTCCATTGCAGAAAGATTATCATTCTTGTTTTTCAAGAAGTCAACTAATCTCGAGTTTAATCAAATAAATTTATGATGAGTAATAATTACCATTAGATAAATAATGGAATTATTTTTAAAATAAACCTAATTGATCGTAGCTCAGCTAGTTTTATTATTATTATTATTAGGGAATCCGGGTTCAAGTCATTGACTGGAAACCTGATGCAGGTGTTCGTACTTTTTTGAAGTTATTATCTAGAATATAATAGCGTTATTCATTAGTAGTAATACAACGAGATATTTATGGTGACTTTTTCAATTTTGAGATTTGCTAGTTTAGTCTTTAGGATGTGCTTATAAGGTGTGTGTATATGTGAGTGTCTAAGTCTGTACTCTAATTTATATAAAAAAACTATTTGAAGATACATATGTTGATACTATTTTCTGTAAATTTAGCCAAATTTAAAAAAGATTGATTTAGTCCAAACTTAGAATTACATTCTTTTGGGAATGTAGGGTGTAGTAGACATCCTAATTGGAAATAGAATCCTCATTATGTTTAGTTAAATACACTGACGATCCTTAAACTTGCAACTCTATGCCACTTAGGTACATGATCTCTCAAAATTAAAATGTGTCTCCCTAAACTTGTTAAGTCAGGCAAGAGAGGTCCATGCCTCTTAGGAGGATGCTAATCTTCCTACAACTAAAAAGAATAAAATGTGGATATTTTTTGGTGCGATATTTATTTTGGTTCGTTCGTCTGCCCACGCCTGCGATCTCCGCCTGCTTTGAAGGAAACAAATCGATCACCTGAGGCCACGTACATGGAAGGAAACAATAATCATGCACCGCGCGATAGAAAAAGAAACTGCCATCCCTGCGATTCCCGCCTGCTTTGAAGGAAACAAATCGATCACCTGATGCCACATGCATAGAAAGAAACAATAATCATGCATGGAAGAAAACAATCATGCGGTGTCCCTCTCTCGCTCGATCAGATATCTTTCATCTCCACGTAAATTGGATCATATGGTATTGTCCATAATTTGGAGGGTATTAAATTTAGGCTGGGATGCATAGTAGGCCACCTAGCTTTATTCTTGCAACTTCTACCTCTTTATGTGTTAGTCTTTGCCAATGATATAATTTATTCGCAAAGCTCAAGCAAGACAATTGGCAAAGATCAAGCAAGACGACTCAATGAGGTTGGCCCTTAATTTTAGTGTTTTCAGCATGCAAACCTGAAATTAAAAAGTGGCTGCTCCTTGAGAACATCAATGGTGCCAAATAAAAGATGTGCATGTTATACATGGTGAGACTGGTGAACCTTTTGTAATTTCCTAAACGAATATTCACACCATTAGTATATAGGTCCATTCCCTGTGTTTCTTCGTGCTCCTATTAGCATATAATATGAAAGTATTGTTGTGTTCATCACGACTTCCAGTTGACTACTCTCTTTAGCATATACTTCGTCTACCCTAAAATATAAGTCGTTATGGGATGTGTGCAGGTCAAACTTTCTCAACTTTGACTAGATTTGTAAAAAATACGTGCAACATTTATATCTCTAAATAAGTTTATTATGAAAATATATTCAATGGTCCATGTAATGATACTAATTATGTATTATAAATATTAATATTATTTTATATATAATTGGTCGAAGTTAAAAAAAGTTGACTTCTCGGGAAGTGAGAATGAATTCTATTTTGGGACAGAGAGAGTATATGAAAGCAGTGTTGAAAATATTTTAACAATCAAGTTCGTCTCTGTCTGATTGGTAAGCTTAGACATCATAATGGCATCAAAATTTTTGACTCTCATGGACACCCTCATGGATCAGTGCAAAGCATCCTAATCCTACAGCATACACAAATAGCAACCTTAAAGTTATGATATTTTCAAAGGGTGGACAATAAAGACCATCTTAGACGTTCTGGCATTAGAGTATATACGCAGGCACATAGGCATGGTGGTGTAAGTGAGCAGCCAGCAGGAGTCGAGAGGTAGGAGGGTGTTTGGATCCCATGACTAAACTTTAGTCCTTGTCACATTGAATTTTTAGATATCAATTAGAAGGACTAAATATGAGCTAATTATAAAACTAATTACATAGGTTGTGGCTAATTCGTTTGCCAACGCTGTGTCCAGGATGGTATGAAGATGTGGTGAAACTTATTCATGGATTTGTTGGCGCACGAAAGAAATGGATATCAGAAATCTCTTCATGCCGGTATAAAAAATGATCTTAGCCGCATCACGGAAAGATCTACACAATAGAGTTTGTGAGCCTGCAACGCCACGCTCTCCGTGACTGTATTAATTTCATGAACTTTGCTTTTTGAATTAAATGTCACTTTAACGTCAGTATTTAATTTAACAGTATTATTATCTTATCGTGCGATCCGTGTGCTTTTAGTACAAAAGATTTAGTTGTCCTGTAGCAACGCACGATCACGCTACCTAGTTAGGATAAAATTTTATAAAAATCACTCTGCTATAGTCATTTCTAGACATATCTTTTATTATATATCTAGACAGTGTGTATAGAGAAACAACTATGTATGTAGAAAGCTAAAATAATTTACAATTTTAAATAAATGATTAATTTTTATTATTGCAAAGAAAGGAAATACGATCCATAGTCTCATTTTGGGGATGGGGACAGGCCCAAGAGGCCAAGCGTCTTGACTGAGCTGATGTGCCCATCCAAAGTTTGCATTCCGTCTATTTCAAATTATAAGATGTTTTGACTTTTCTATATACATACAGCTTGTTCTCTTGGTCATTTTTGATTTGTAAGCCATGGATTATTAGCCAACGAATAATATTTTTCTCTCACACCAAACCAGTCCAATAGTACTTTCAGCCATGGCTTATAACCCAAACTAGTCCAAACGAACAGGACGATAGTTTTTGCTATGCACTTGGATCTAAATTATGTCTAAATGCATAATACAAACTATGTATCAAAAAGCTAAAACGTCTTGTAATTTGAGACAGAGGAAGTATGAGTGTCTGTTCTGCAAGCACGTTTACACGACGTTGGAATATTGAGACTTGAGAGTTATTGTCATGCTGCAACCCGAAAAGCGACATTGCTTTCCCTTCAAAACAAAAGGAACACACACACACACACTTAGCCCCAATCTATATCCATATCCTCTAATAAAACTAATCTTCAATAGATGTTCTATCTCTTCATACAAGATGTCCACATCATCCGATTCACAAAAAAAAAGATGTCAACATCATCCTCTAATAAGTGCTCCACTAACTTGTAATTCTTTTATGTAATCTATCTATGCCATCCTTTATTAATTATAAAAATGATCCACATCATCTCTATTACGTGCAATACTTTTAATCTTTAAGTACAAGTCATTTACGTATTCTATTTGTTTCATCATCCTATCCTTCTATAGTGTAATATTATATTTGTTTTTCTTACATTCACTTACCGATTTTTATCAGATTCATGCTATGAAATAACATGCAATATCCACGAGGTATTTTATAGAAACTAATTTTCCTATAATAAATTTATTTGTAGCAATAGCAACGCAAGGTATTTTTATAGTGTAATACTACTCTTAGGTGGCGTTTGGACAGGGATAGGGATAAAGAACATTATATCCTTATTATCCATTTTTTATGTCTCATTTAATTCTAACCGTTCTCCTATGTCCCTTTTCCTATCTCACCTCCTATATCCCCACATCCAAGCGAATTATTAAGGTCACTGAGGATGATGTGGTACACCTGGTGTACAGTGGAAACTGAGGCCGGCCCAGCAGCCAACATTTTCCACCACTCAAGCCACAGAGCATGCCGTTTGAGGTTGATGGTGGTGCTGGTTCATGCTTTGACCATCTTTTCAATACTTGTTCCTCAGCAGCAAAATTGGCGGTTAGGTGATTAGGGAATTACCAAGTGAAGTCCGTGACAACGCACGATGAGATCCTAGTTAAAAACAATTTTTTTTAAAAAATAAACTAGTTCCACCATCGAATACTACACGCGGACACTGCAAGCACCTTTGCCCCAGCAGTGTGTGAAACGAACATAGTACAGATGCATGTACTCAGTAGATCCATATATGCATACATATAGATCAGCTATAAGACTATATGCAGACACTGTAGCTATATGCAGATCCATATAGATCAGCTAGAAGATAGTGATAGCCGATAGACGCAACTTCCTGGAACCTCTAACCTGGGATCAGGAAACAGGGATTTTTGTGTGACGTGGGATCTTCTGTGGCCAGGACTCGACACAAAAGGAATGTCGGTGTTTGGAGGTGATGCCAACAGGCAGAAGCTGAGGGAATGAATGAGCTGCACTGCTGCTGATCGAGAGGTGGAGTCGTCCTAGCAATTTATTGCATTGTTCTTTTCTTATTATTAAGTGTGTGTCCTAGATAAACCTTCGGTCTGTTTGTATGGGTTGGTTTGGTTTATAAGCCATGGCTGAAAGTATTATTGGTTGGTTTGATGTGAGAAAAAATATTGTTCGTTGGCTGATAAGCTATGGTTTATAAGTCAGATACGAGCAAACGAACAGGCTACTTGAATGCAACAAGTTTTGAATAAATAGGACCGTGAACGAGAAGCTTAAAGGTCACTTGGGAAGAAAAAAAGGAGAGCAAATTTGGAATGGAGAGAGCAGCTTGTAAAGGTGGCTTATCATTATTTTTAGATTATAGATACGTGGTGAAAATAAATTCCAGAAAAAAAAAATACTGCTGAGGACCGTTGTAAGCTCAGGCGCTCTGCTT